TGACCATTTGTCCAGTAAGAACTATTTTTTAAATGTTCTTTTATTTTTTATGCCCAATATATAGTTTCATTGTCTTCAGCAAATGAGCCCTATAGGTTACCATAAAAAAAAAAAAAGATATGTGAAGGATTATTAATTATAAACCTGTAAAGCAAGTAAATAAATAATTTAAAAGTTCCCAGGTCCTTAGAACAGACTGTCACAGAGCTGCCTATCCCAGACAAAGTTATTGAATTGGCAGATCTATGGGGAGGTGAATTGCAAGAAAAGGGGGTTCATTTTCACTGACCCACGTCCTTTAGTTTAAAGAAGGCTCCCCAAACTTTAAATCTATCTATGGAGAGGATAGATGGCAGCCACTTCACAGCATGTTGTTATTGTTTTTTACAACGGACTTTGAGAATGAGATAAAGATATTTGCTAAAATCTTAGGAGGGCAAAGAAAGAAAACAGCATGTGTCATCTCTGATCATGCCCCCTCTTCTCTCCTTGAGGCAGGTAGTTTCCATGAGAGCAATTTAGACTGGGCAGGTTAATCCTTTCTCCTAAGAAACATATACTTGATCAGATTTGAAGGTAGAGGTGAGAGCATTGCATTTTTACTAAGAATGAATGAATGAATGAATGAATGAATGAATGAATGAATGAATGAATGAATGAATGAATAACTCTGTCAGGCTTCAGCCAGGATATTGTGTCCAGTTCTCGGCCCTGCATTTTAAAGCCTGTGAGTAGAGGTTGAACAAATGGAAATGGTTTGCATGGAGATAATTGACAGCAGAGTAACACCTTTTCACTTTCTGAAGGGCTGGTTGTCACATAGAAGAGGGCAAAGGTTTGTCCTCTATTATCCCAAAATGGAGGATCACATGAAGTCGTCTTACGTTGTAGGAAGTAGATTTTGGCTGAACATTAGGAGAAGCTTCTTAATAAGAGCAGTTGGAAACTGAAGCCTTGCAGCACCTTTTGTCCCTTAAAACCTCCAAAGCCTCATTCAAATTAGACACATTTTTCTGGCTTTCAGGTGTTTTAAGGGACAGAATAGGTGCTTTTAAATCTTGTCTAAAGCAGATATTTCACTCCTGAACTCCCAAATCTGAGGTCGCACTCTCTGTTGGTAGCTCCTAGGCAGGGTCCAAGGGCAGTGGGTGGAACTCCAGGCCAGAAAAGTTAGTCTCTCTCTAACTGAGAGGGAGGACACATTTTCTTTCACTGGAGATTTGGATGATAGTTTATGGGGGGAAATTGGATTTCCTGCATGGAACAGGAATATCCTCCTCACCAGTTCCACAAATATAAGTGAGAGATGCAAAGATGGATCTCTGACCAGTTATTAAGTCTGGCTCTTTGAACACACTTTTTAAACTCAGTACATGGGGTTTCACAAATTTGAACACTTAGGGCATGCTTGTTGTCAAGCACCTGTGGATTGGAATGCCACTTGCCTGTCCTGCAAGCCAGTGAGAAATATTATATTTCTGTATCAAGGGATGTGCAGGAGCAAGTGGGAGTGACATCCTTCTCTGGGCAGTGCTGAGATGCAGTCAGCTGCCCAACAGCAATGGAATGGTGGTCATGCATGCGCTGTTGAACCACCTAATGGAGGAATGGACACCTTTGGCCAACAGTAAATCTGACTTGAAGGGGTAACACATTTCAATCTCTCATAGAGTACAGTTAATATAGGGAAGCATACATTTATCTCAGCTAGGGCTTTCAGACCTTTTTGGTGGACTCTACTTTGTTTATGGTTTTAAAATTTGTGGCAGTATGGGAGATCACCAGCAGCAGCACGTTTGAGAACTTTTGTCTATTCTGTGCATTTATTTTTTATATTAGGATGGGTAATTTTTCACTTACAAGATTTCAGAGGGCCTTATCACAATAAAAACTTGTAAAAGTTATTGAAAAATACAAATAGACTCAATGCGTTTTTTTATATTTTAATTTTTTGGGTTGCCCTTCAAAGCAGGTCTTGGGCCAAAAGCCTGGTGGAGTAATACTATTGAAGGCTATAGGGCAGGGCCAAATTAACTTCCAGGGGAGGGAGGGTATAGCCTCTGAAAAGGCCCTGTTTGTAGTCAGTGCCAGCTGTACCTCTAATGGTGGTGAAGATGAGATCAAAGTTTCACCTGATGGACATATCTAATAGGTAGGTTCATAAAGTGAAAGAGATTTCTTCAGATATTCTTTGCCAGAACTGCCTAGAGTTGTAGATTGCAGTTATAAGAGGTTCAGGAAATATGAAATAAATCTGGGATTAAAGATTTTAGCCCAAACCTTGGGGAATTCCTTTATGAGGAAGCTCTTTCTGACCCATACAGACCATCTCTGCTGTTGACTCGCAGGCCTTCTCCTGCTGCATATACTATTACTTCTCAAGTCACTTTGCTTTACTTAAAAATTGGTGTGGGGACTGACCAAGGGGTTCATATAAAGAGTTCATTCAAAAATATATATGCCATACAATATCATAAAGCTTTATGAAAGATTTTCCACTGTGATGTGTTTTACATCTCTAGCTCCCCATTCCTAAACTGGGGGTGCGCTTATGAAAACCCATGGCAGTTTTCCTTCAGTTTCTCAGAAAAAAATGGTTTGTGCAGAAGAATGTGATAGATTCCTGAGGTGAGTGTTTCTCTGTAGACTCCATGTGGAAGGTGTTTGAATGGAAATATGGAGAAGTCACTAGGATGAGACACTTTCTTAATAGCCCTCCTTCCTCTGCAAAAGTGGGACCTTCCATTCTTCCCTGTGAGACCATTTCTGCCTCATTCTGCTGGATGTGTTGCTGTCACACACAGCACTGTCACAAACCAACGAAGAATGCCATTCAGGATACTGATAATATTTTTTTGCAGTGCCCATCTTCTTTCACTTTGGAGAATTGGCTTCCTTTGGTCTTCATTTCTGTTTCCTCTGTGCAAGGCCAAAGCTCTGTGGATAGAGTTTGATGGAGAGATCTGGCCCAACTGACACTGCTCAGTCATTCAGTGGTTTTTGCTGTTTCTCAAAAGCAGCAAAGAAATGATGGATTAAAGAGTCTCTTTGCATGTCAAAATGCCCACTGTTTTCTCAGAAAGCCACAGGACTGAAATACCTCTGTGTCTCCATGATGCAACTCCAGATTTGATCACACTTAATTTCACTCTCCTGCTTTAGGAGGCTGGTAAAATTCAGAGCAGCTTACTTCAATTTTTTTTGAAGACTTTTCAGTCCTTCCAAGGCTTGAATTGTTACCCTTCCACTTCTATAAAGGAAAAGAAAAAGAGAGGGAAACAGTCAAGTTTTTTTTTAGCTTCTCCTTATCCTCCAAGTATAGATAAAAGTAGAAGCTGATCCAGCTGGTCCTCTGCATACCAAAATGGTTCAAGGTGTTCCATCCTTTGCTTGATAGGAAGAACAAAGCTTTGGGTGCTCATTAGTGTCTCCTGGAGCTCAAAACAATGAATATATCATTTTGCCAGGGGGGTACAGATTAGTACAGATCAAAATAATAAAACTTGCTTGATATACAGGAGGCTTCATATCTGATCCCTGACATTTCCTGTAGGATCAGGAAATACTCTGAAGTTTTGGCTGCCAGCCTATGAAGGCACTAATGAACTCAAAAGACCACTCAGTACAAGACAGCTTCTCATAGTCCTTTGTGATGGAGAATAAAAAATAAATAAGATCCTAAAAGCCAA